ACATCCAATCAGCTGTTTCTGTTTCGGTTTTCATAGTAGTTATCCTATCCGTCACTTCGTCGCCAGTCTTGTCGTCGTTATTTTTTTCTTGGAAATTAATTTCAGTATAAAATTTAGACAACGAATTATTAGTTATGGCAACTAATTTTAATTAATATATATAACGATAGTGTTGAAACGTAAACTATTAAAAAATAATTTAATAATGTATTGGAAGGATGGACGTCTAACCTCACTTTTCAGCCGCTAGATTCCTCGGACAATCATGTGAATTATCGAAAGCATTCCAATGTATCATTTAAATCGATCGGATTTCTCTTCTGCGAAATATCGGAGCGCCTTAAATTATTCTTCTTTCTTTCTCAATGAGGTTTCTCGTAAAATCAAAGTGCAATATCCTCGAAAACTCATAGTACCGGTGCTCCGAGTCGACTTTTTAGCTAATTATAATATAGTACGATGACCGAGAAATCTAGAAAAATAGTAACCAGATTTCACCCTACTCACGGGGAAAATATCATGTTACGCGAAGATAATACAGTGGCGTATCGCACTGCCAGTTTTGCAAACTCTCTGGCTTTCAGTGAAAAACCATTACAACCAGGTGAAATATTCTTGGTAGAAATTGAAAAGACTGAAAGAGGATGGAGTGGACATATGAGATTGGGACTGACTCTCATAGATCCAGCGTCTGTGAATAATAGTTTACCAGAATTTGCTATGCCTAATCTTGCTAAACTTGGAAATACATGGATATTTGCCATTACAAAAAGCCTATATGGATTGTGGGATGGTTTCGATAGTTATGCTCAAAGAATCTATGGTAATCTTATTTTATACATCGTTAATTAAGTTGATTAAGTTTTATGTTTAAAAAATCTATGATAATTTTGCAATTTTATGCAATTTTAAACACTATTAATTAAGTTTTTGTATACGTATTCTCTTTAAGGTGAAATCCCATCTGAAGAAAAGAAATTGATCACAGATGGAGTAAATGTGCAAACTTCTCGTGGAGTTATTCCATTTAATGCTCTCAGACCAAACACAATTGATTCTTCTCAGTATATATTACCCACAGATGCTGGTAGTCGTATAGGAATTATGTACGTGCCACAAGCTGGTTCTGACAAGGCAGAAATGCATTTCATAATTAATGGTGAAGACCAAGGTGTATGTGAAAAAGACATACCGTATAAAGCAGGACCTTTGCGCGCTGTAGTAGATGTATATGGTACCACAAAACAAGTTAGGATAGTTCAACTATATGGTGGTATGTTACTTTTGCTTCTTACAAGTACAATATTTTTGTAAATATTTCGTTTTTTCTTTTTCTTGCTAATAATTATATGTTTCAACAGTATCTACCCTACAAAGTGCCTGTCGTGATGCTATACTACAGTATACTAAAAGAAATGCAGTTGATTCACTTCCACTTCCAAGGGTTCTAAAAGATTATCTATTATATCAATCACAATGAAATTTACGTCATTCCATCTTGTCTCTTGATCGTAACTTTGTATAGCCATTTTAGTATTCGCATAATTTCTTCAACCATTTCGATTTTTCTACAATTTTCAACGTATTTATCGCGTATAAATCGTTCTTTCATTTATTCTAATTACTGTATTTTAGGGGAAGATAAATGTAAGTCTAAAGCAAATTTAGAATTATTTTCACTCTTCCAGTTAGTTAGCTGTTCTTTCATTTTTTTCAATATGTATATTTTATCGTATGTATGTAGCATATGTAATTCGCGTGAATGTTAAACCGTATCATGTACATAATGTAAGAAGTTGTTGACGAAACACCGAGTAAATTCTAATAAGCAAAAGAGTATCACGTTTTTTTTTTTATTCTTGCATTTAGCATTTATTAGCAATTACAATTTTTACAAGAGTTTAAAAACTCCATTTCTTCGCTAAAATTACTCGCACATTTCATGCAGCGTCGTAAATCTATACGAATCTTTTCATCTAAAATAAGTTTCACGCAGAATTATCGATGTATATCATATCGTTCTTTTTCTATTGTTATAATTCATGTAACAAAGATAATAATAAGATAAACTTGATCGCACTGTTAACAAATGCAAAAATAGATCAGATTGACGTATTCAATTAAATACGACATGTTTTTCCAAAATAAATGTATTTAATAAAAAAAAAAAAAAAAAAAAAAAAAAAAAAAAAAAAGAAAAAAAGAAAAACTCTTTCTTAAAACACCCAATATTTTATCTTTTTTACACATCGTATACATGATTCATGATTAAATTATTTGACAAGTATTTAATTTATTCTTTTCCTTCTTTTTTTTTCTTCCAATATAAATTTTCAGAATTATCGAAAATATACATAAATCAAGTTTCCATAAATTAACTTTCGAAACTTTCATATGTGTTTCTTGGTATAAAAATAATTAGCATAATTATGTAAGCGAGTGAAACACACAAGAAAGCACCCCATCCGATCAAAATGGACGTGTAACTCCACGTATATTGCTTTTTATCCAGGAATACCAAACTCGTGTTGTCATCCTCGTTCATTTCGATTCTTGCCGACACTTTTGAATCCAGAATAGTAACTAAAAACACTTGGCCTACTTTGCTTTTTAAAACCGATTCAGTGATGGAGGATATCCACGTTGGAGCGTCTGCCTGTAATTCTTGCAAGTATCGCAAGATGCTGGTCAACATAAGCGAGAATGCGGCTAGGGCAAGAGATTTCTCATAAAACAATACTAAAAAAAAAAAAAGAAAAATAATATTTAATAATAATAATAATAATAATAATTCAAGATAAATTTCAAAGTATCTTCATTTTATTATTCGATTTAATTAATAATCGTAAAAATTAAAGCATTACTCAAGTTTGGTGTTTGAATTCCATTGAAAGGGATCCTCCACTGCACATCTAACAAGCAAAATAGATGCAGAATAAAATTCAGATTCGCTATGATCATACGCTCCATGGAACTTGGCTCTAACCATAATGTCATCAATGTCATAGTCATTAATACTGTAATATAAATGTAAAATGATCTTTTTTTTTTTACATCCATTTATCGTAATATATGTATTTTTTTTTTCTTCTTTTTTTTCATCTAATTTACACACCTATAGTCAAAGTCACATACATCGTACTGTTCATGGAGTAATGCCTTCTTAGTAGAATATTATAGGATAACAAATCTGTGGTGAAACCTAAACCAAATTTGGAATCTATTCTACGCTCGTTGTGAGACATATGCACAATCTCCCATTCCGTGTTATTATTAAACATATCGTCTAAAATCTAGAGAGAGATGATTTTTTTTTATCAAAATTTTATCGAGTTTCCTTTTTCTTTAATAACTCAAAATTATTAAATTGAACGATTTCTTAAAAAACATTAAAACATTTTTATTTTTACACACTCGTTCGTCGGTATCCAAAGAGTTTAAGTTGATCTCGTTTGTTCCGTGAGACCACGAGGCAATATGTATAGTGCAGTTCAACATATCGTAAGGCCACCAAGTGTGATCAAATTCGCAAACGGGTGTATACGTAGTGAACGGTACGCACAATATCGTGCCTGAATTGAACACTAAACATTCGACCGAGGGCATCTCAAGATCGACACCGACGCTTGTTCTAAAAAATCGAAAATTGGCAAGTAAAGAAATCGAGCAAAACTTTGTATATCAACTCGTATAACCTACGAGACACAATGATACAACGAATTTAATCTTCCTACAAGATGGTCATGCTGTAAACAAGCGTGAAACACATGCGAGCAAAATATTTCGTAATTTCGTTATTGAACGATTAATCGTATGTAATTTATGTTAAAGAAGGGAAAAAAAAATTGATCGGATATGATAATGATTTACGTCATACTCATTTCAATTGCTAGCCAACTTACACGCTGTGCATCACGATATCGGGAACCCAGATTTCGTAACTCTTTACGCGAATAGAATTGATAGAATCGAATTCGGATGATTTCCATGTGAGATGATTCTGTTTCCACATCTATCAGAATTTATAGAAATTATAGAAAATATTGGCGATGACACCGATTATTATTATTATCGTTGTACTCACCAATTTTAACAAAACGTGGAAATCGACGGTGTGCGAATATTCATCCTGAATGACACGAGCATAGATAAAGTAGAAAGAAATTGGCGATTTTCATATTTGTATTTCGTAAAAAAAAAAAGAAAAGAAATACTTACAACGTTATAATGTTGAATGCTTAATCCAAAATCAATTTTAGTGGCATTCTTTTCTAGGGGCATAACGTCTCTGTCGTAATCGCAGAATAGATATTCTTTCAATCTGTGAAGCGCAGAGGTACTTGTGATGTCTTTGCAAACGAAACAGATCACTTGTCCATCTGACAAAATGTTAAAGATCACGAGTAAAACGGGAAATATATTCTTCATGTTTAACGGTGAGAGAAGAAAACGAAATGACAGATCTACGCAATGACTAGTGGATCGACGAATCGAGAAGGGTAGCGAACACGCCCAGTGAAATGTTAAACCGTGGACATCGAAGACCGCCCCCTTTCGTTCGTTTATCGTTTTTATCAGATGCGATATTTTCGATGGTTCACTACCAACTGGATTAAAAGAAACAGGCCATCGATCGAAACAATCTTTGCTCGATTAGAAAATTAAAATATCGATCTTGTTATCAATTTTTAAGTAAGTAAAATTATTTATAGAACGGGATACATTCTTATTATCAAAACTCAAAGATTTTATATTTTAATAATATCAGAAATTATTTGATTATTACTTTTAATTATTTATTTGTAAATTAATCCAAGATCGATAAGATATTGAACAAATGTTATTTATAAAATATAAAACTTCGATTTGAATTATTTGAAGTTTCACAAAAAAAAAATTAATCGAAATTTAAAAAACATCGATTCGAAAGATATGAGAAAGGATGGATAACGAATAAAACTATTATCGATACGATATTAAAAAAAAAAAGGAAAAAAGCATCGTTAATTAAATTATTATTTATTGAAAATGAGAATCTACAATCGATTATTGATGAAGAATCATGTAGAAGAACGTGGGAAGAATGAATTTTTCACGTGGATGGTACAAGGGTGATAAGAATGACGACGTAAGTGAAGATCACGATGAAGAAGGAGAGCCACTCGATTATGGCCGCGAAATGTCTCCACGCCGATTCCTTCGCTCGAGATTTCGAAACCTCGGAATTGTTCTCAGTCTCTTCGCCAAGTATCCCCTGGTTGGACGACAATTTGGAATCGTTCTCGGTGAGAATGAGGAAACGGCCGGCTCTGTTGCTCAGCACGAACGACGTTGTCGTAGAAATCCAATACGGCACCTCGATGTTCATTTCTTGCATTTTACGTAGCAGTGCGGTTAAAATTAAAGCGAATACCGACAAGGCAAGCGAGTCTCTATAGTAGAGCACTGGAAGGAATAAACTTTTTGTAAAAAGATATATATACTACGCGTACATTTGTATTTATATATAGAGATAACATATTTATTTAAAATAATAAATGTTGCCGTAAAGTACGGCTAATAGTCGTATTTGTGTAGTAAAGTTTAATTTATCTTAATTACACGTACGCAAGAAATTTCGGTGTAAATGTCGGTATCATGTGCGTTACATTAATATCGGATTGCAATTCACAATTTAGAAATAACTTACGTATATTGGGAGGATTGGTACTATTGTGTGGTAACTGCCAATGCAAATCGGACATGCAAAGTATATGGCAGATCAGATTCACGCTCGCTGCGATCATCCTCTCCGTTGATCTCGAGTCGAGCCACAACACCGTCAACGTGAGCAACATCATCGTTATGGCGGGTATTACGTAGGTGGTGTGCAATATACCGTAATGCCTGGTTATGGAAAATTCGTAAACGATCATCGGGTAGGTGTCGTTCGGGCAACACGCGTATATCTTCAACACTTTGGTCGCCTTTATCACTTTGAAATCCCACTTGGAATTATTCGTATACCCGTCCATGTGAAACTACCATGCGGTCGGAATCAGAGTGGAAAAAGTCGTTAAACAATCGATCGGTACATCCTCGGTCGGTAATCGAATTCGATTTCTAACTTACCCCCTTTTTGTCGAGAAAAATGTTCACCTCCTCTCCCGAGTGGATCCACGAGCCGAAATTGATCCGGCAACGGTGAGTGTCGTAGGGCCACGAGGAAAAATCCGTGGCGCATTTGGCAACGTGTTTCACCGATGGTACACAACTGATCGATCCTGTACTCAATAGCAGGCACGTCGTCGGTGGTATACCAGTCTGATCGAACGTCATGTCGCCTCTTATTCGACGAGCAGTGTATATATATATTTTTTTTTAATCATCGAATATTCAGTCTTTTTAAAAAAAAAAAGGAAAAAAGATAGTTTTAGTGCTCACGAATTGTAAACGGAAATATCGGGAACCCAAATATCGTCGCTTTTCACGTAAATATAATTGATCCCATCGAAATCGCTGGGCTTCCAGGACAGATGAGAGTCGGTCCACACCTAGGAAAAAGAAAGAAGAAACGAACGTCTGGATTCTTGGGGGCAAAGTGTAAAATCGTTTCGAAAAAGAGAAAATGATATCGTGATTCGACGACTACTCACTAAAGTCATCCAACTGTGCAACTCCATCACGCTGGTCCAATCATCCTAAACCAGATGTAAATGAACAAGTGAATAATTAGATTAATTAGAGATATTCGCGAGTTATATGCGGGCAATTTATTTTCTGATCAATTTCAATTTGATTTCAACTTACGAATTCCATCAGTTTTGGCAGTAGTTGCATGGTCACGTTGTTGGCGATTTGATGGGACGAAATCGGTCGTACGTTAGGATCGTACTCGCAGAAAAGATACCTCCTCAATCTTAACAAGGTGGTTGGATGGTCGTAATCCTTGCAATTCAACCCATACGAGTATTCGAATTCATTGTCGTTTTTAGCTAAGGTTGCTGAGAAAATATATTCGAGATGATGATTTTTCTTAATCGACGATCAAATGTGATAATAATTGAGGAAAATTGATGAAATAAAGAAGAAAGGGATATCGTGTAATTAAAATTCTAATTAAATTTTCATGAAATTAATTTAAAAAAAAAAATTAAGAAAACAAAAGATAATCGAGAATTAAAAATTTATTCGTCATGTCAGATTGAAAGAAGCAACGACGAATGATTACTTGTCTATTCAAACAATAGATTTTAGCCAGTTAAAATTAATAGGATGGAAATAAAATTTAGAAATTTGTGAAATTTCTTAATTCTATTCTTAGATATCATTAATTATTATGATTTTTTTTTTATAAGAATTAAATAATAAATCTGAAATAGTAAATTTCTTATCTTTTATTCTTAGTTAGTTTCTCGTCGTTATTTCGTGTGCCGCAATTCTATTTTCTCGAAATTCAAGGAACACTGTTATTACGACTTTACTGCTAACGAAAAAATTCCCGTGTCTTGAGGAGAAAGGGAAACGATAATGATACTTGATGACACTTTACCCGAATTCTGCCAAAAAAGGAGGAATCCAAGAACTGTTATTATTCTCATTTTCATTGAAATGAGCCAACAACCACCACTCGACTGAACGATTTCTCGTTCGTGACAGAACGATTATCAGACGCCCCGTGAAATTCGAAGCTGGAGATAGGCGAGACGCCCCCAGGTTCAATGCTTTTCACTTATTTTCAGATAGACAATTGGCAATTATCGCAGAATTTTCTCTACGAGAAATTCAACCTCTCCAAAATTTCTCGTTTTCATCGTGGAGCAATAATCAGGAACTTGAAGTCAAGAAGAATAAATAAATCAAAAAAAAAAAGATAAAAATAAATAAATAAATTAATCGTTGATGAACCAGATAAAAATAATATTTATATATATATATATATATATAAAACTGAGATCAGTTTTTTATATTCATTGACAGATAACTTTTCATTGACTAACTTTGAGCTCAAGCTTCTTTTATTTATAATAGTAGAAGAAAAGTATTTGCAACTTATTTCGTTCATTTTCATAGTTAAATAAAAAGTATTACTTTTTTCGAAGTACTGATAAGGTGTTAGAAACCTTTCAATCAAGATTTGAACCTATTTGCAATATGCTCGATCCCATCTTTAATGTAAGCCTTCGCCTACGTAATACCGATAAAGTGGCTATTTGAGCATGCGTAGTACTACGTTCTCCTTTTAAACACGTAATCCACATGCGATAAGCGCCAGTATATCGTGGAACTTGGTGCGAACACGCTCCGTATTGCAGCCTATTCTCTTTTCTGGGCCACGTGCATTGAAATAATCTTTGACGATTCGAATGAAAGGCAAATTTGAGTTGTTGTCAAAGAAATATGAGATATATCGGGGCGCTCGACATCGGTACCACTAACGTACGGTTTCATATATTCGATGAAGAAGGAAACACAATTGCTTCTTCAACGGAAAAGGTTAGATTTACAGTTATTGTGGATTTTTAGAAATATTTTTTAGAAGAAAAGAAAAAAAAAATTTATAATTTACATTCTGCTGTCGATCATAAAAGTCTTCGTGCACGTTTTGAAAATATATTTGTTAAAATAAATGCAATTAAATATTTTTGCAAAGTTATTATTACACAGCATTATAATATTAATAATATAATATAATATTTTAACAATAATTCTTTATGATTTATAAAAATTTTGGTAAATTATCACGTACATATTATATATACATGTGAATATATACAAAATATTAAATGAGACAACTCTGAGATAAATAGAATACGCTGATATGTCGAATAATAATAAATGTTTTAAAACATTTCTTTTATTATATATCTGTTTTTTTATTCTTAAAACAAGAATGTTTTTAAACATACATTGGAAATAATTATTCTATATTTTTTCATAACAAAGGATTGAAATCATCATACATGTGAAAAAATAATTATTTGACGTAAATATGAAAATAATGATCGTGATATAACAACTAGATACAAAAATATAAAAAAGATGAATTGAACTTTGATCTATGATTTATAAATTTTTACAAATGAAAAAATTTATGAATAATTTTTAGTACACTTCTAAAAATTCTATTTAAACCTAAAAAATCTAAAAAAATCGAAGATGCTAGAATATAAAAAAAATGTTATACGCGTATGTTCAATATTTATATAATGACCTTAAGACTCTAGATAATATATGTACGTGCTTATAAAGAAACAACATTAAATTTTTATTCTGAAATTATACATTGATTTAAAATATATAATTCTGTTTCTTATTAATAAAATATTATATTCAATAAATTTACATAACTTGTTAAAAAATAAAAATATAAATTCAAGAAACAAAGTTACAAAGCCGATAAATTATTATTTATTTGATTAATCTTTGATTTTTTTTTTCAATATTTCAATATTTCTTTAATCTTTCGATTAAGATACAATTAATGCGAGAAATATAAAAATAATAATAATAATAATAATAATACGTTCATTATCATAAATTAATCATTGAACGAATTAAAATGTTTCTTTTTACATAGATGTTATTATATAATTATAAAAAAATTAATAAAAAAATAATGATGCTCGAACGATAATTAAAATAATCTCATGTGTAATTATAAAAAAAAAATAAAAAAATAATTGTTTGTCATAGCAATAATAATGGATGAGAGTGCTATTTTTATTCTTGCTATGGTTACGAAAAAAATATTTTTCTCTGAATCATATTTTTTTGATCGACAAACGTTTACGTTCTTCCTTTGTTCGCTGTAAAATTATTTTCATCGTTCCACAACATGTACAAACCGGTTCCAACGGTGTTACACTTTCGCACATCCGTCTTTTTGTTACGTATAGATCGAGATGATTTAATCCATATCAACGACAATTGAGTGAATTGACCGATATTCGTCACTTTGTTCATTAACCTCATTGCCATTGCTTAAAAAAATAAATCTGCGTAAAGAGGAGTGTATATGAGAAAAATAGAGAGAATAATAATAGATAGAAAAGAAAAAGAGGAAAGGCAGAAGAAAAAAAATTCTAATAAAAAAATACATAAATAAAAAGGATCAGCTTCATTATCATTAGAAAGAAATATATTTACAACGTGCAACAGATTTATTACTGATTTGTTATTCATTATTCGTATTTTTTTATTTCATATATTTAATGAGGATTTAAAAATCTTTGAATAATTTTTGAAACTACAACTTTTTAAAGCGTCAAAATATAAAAAGATTTAAATAATTTTTGTAGAAAGATTATTGATAATATCTAACTATAATTTCGTATACATTTTTCTTGATTGATATTAATCCGAATTCCTTCGAGAAAAATTATTTATCCTCTTTTCTTCTTTTTTTTTTTTCTTTTTTTGTTTTTAGATCCAGCTTTTGTATCCAAAGCCAAATTATGTGGAAATAGATCCAGATGCGCTGTGGACAACTATAGTAAATGTAATAAAGAATACTCTGACAGGTGAGTTGAATGGTCGTTTTGAAAAATCATACTTATACGTTTCGAGAAGATAACAAATATTTACGTTTTCTTTATCATCGTAGAATCAAAAGTTGAGAGCTTGGAATCGATAGTCGGCATCGGAATTTCGACGCAACGAGGCAGTTTCACCACGTGGAATTCGAAAGATGGAAGGCATTATCACAAGTGAGTGTGACAATCAGGTTTATTGTTCGTTTCTATAATTCCGATATGAACGATACGATTATTTTATCGAATGTTTCAGTTTTATTACATGGAAAGATCTACGTGCTGATAATTTGGTGAAAGAATGGAACTCGTCGATAATAATGAGAATATTGAAAATGGGATCGAAGATTTTATACACTTTCTCAAGGAACAAACGATTCCTTGGAATGAGCGTTTTTAAATTCATGAATACACAGGTTCTCATCTCTTTTTTTGAATTATTTTACAAAAACTTCATATCATTATTACAATATCTAATCAATTAGACCGGTTGGCTTTCAAATCTTTCAAATATTTTTTATTTATTACGCTATTTTCGTTCCCTATCGAATTTTAGTTCTATTTATCTACGTGTGTTAAGTTAATTCTCTATGATAATGATATAGAAGATTAAAAAATTTTAATTTAATCGTTATGTTTATATTTTTTTTTTTTATCGTTTGTTTTACGGTACTACTTAGATGTCACTAAGGTTAGTGTGGGTACTGCAACACGTGCCTGGTTTGCAAGAGGCGATGAACGATGGAAATGTCCTTTTCGGTGGAATTGATTCTTGGCTTTTATATAAATTCACTGGTATTCATTTTTTTTATTATATTTTAATTAATATGTATATATTTCTTTTATATCTGTCAATTTTTCATTCAATTTTTCCAATTTTATTACAGAATAAAAAAAGTAATTTGCTTCAATTTATTTATTTTCTTAAAAGAATTTTAAGAATAATAAACAGGTTAATAATATATTTATGAATATTTTCGAAGAATAAAATCTGAAAGCATAAAGATTGATATTCGAGAATGTCGAGATTATATTTATTATTATATAAATTATAATCCAAATTTATATTAAATGAAATGGAAATAGAAGTGCAACATGGCAGTGTAACAAAGAACATTGTATCCATGTCTCGCTTCGTCCAAATTTTATTTGCTTATAACTTAATAAAAATAAGTCTTAATCGACATTCTTGTACATCTCTTTGGTGTTTGTTTTGATTTCTAGAACCGATCTTTGAAAAAATCTTATAAATATAATATAATATCCTGTATTCTTTTTGTATAGGAAAACACGTGACAGACATTTCAAGCGCATCCGCGACTGGAATTTTCGATCCATTTATCAAATGTTGGTCAAGCTCTATGATAAATTTGCTTAAATTGCCGCACGATATCTTTCCCCAAGTGGTGGAGACCAGTGGAAATTTTGGTTGTACTCCAAAAGATTTATTCGGGATCGAAATTCCAATATTATGCTCAGTAAGTTGTATAATTTTATTCAAAAAATTTAAATAACTTGAAGTTAAAATATTCTTGTCCTTGAGCGAATCGACGAATACAAATTATCTGTACGAATTTTAAGTAATTTTGAAATTAATCGTGTTATTTGAAGTAGACGACGGATCAATCGGCATCGCTGTTCGGCTCGATGTGTATGCAACCGGGAGATTTGAAGATCACCATGGGGACTGGCACGTTTTTGAACGTGAACACGGGTAACATCCCACACGCTTCTGTTGCGGGTAATTTTTTTTTCTTTTTAATAATATCTCGAAAGCAATAGAGAGTTAAAAATAAACGAAGAAAATAAGTTCGAAGGATAAAGACGACTTATGCAAAAATAAAAAAAAGTCCACTTCTAATTTTTAATTTCTTTTTAACAGGACTTTATCCTCTAATCGCATGGCAAACAGGAGATGAATTAGTATACATGGCGGAAGGTGCATGGAACGAAACTGGAGGTATCATTGAATGGGCCAAGGAAATAAGTAATTTCTTGATGAAAAGTTTTTTTACTATACTTTTGCAATAACCGATTTCAAAAATTTCTATAAATTTGTATATGTAATAAATTGCATATTTTTTTTTTATAATGGATTAACTTTAACGTTTTCTCGATTCTTTCTTAAAAAAAAAAAAAAAAGAATTAAGATATCGCTTACTTACTAAGAAAGAAAGAAAAATCTTTTAATCAAATAGTATAATTTGAAGTAAACTGGTCAACGAAACGCTAGAATTTTAAAGATGCAGTTTGTTTCAGGTCTGATCGACCAAGTAGCAGAAACAGCAAATATCGCGTACTCGGTGAATGACTCTGATGGAGTGTATTTCGTTCCTGCATTCAGTGGATTACACGTAACGTTCAATATTTTATTATTATAATTTTTTATAATCGTTCATTCGATAAAAACAATTGGATAAGGGGAATATCGTTTGTTTACAGGCGCCGATAAATGATTACAAAGCAGCGGCAGGTTTCATAGGCCTAAAACCTACCACAAGAAAAAATCATCTGGTTCGAGCGTTGTTAGAAAGTATCGTTTTTGGAATGTTATTACTTTATGAAACATTATGCTCAGAAACTTCTTTCATTTATAAGAGAATACGGTTAGTAATGAATTCGTTAAAAAAGAACTTTGAAGAATTTCTTAATCACATGCAAAATCATGCATTTCTTGCTATTTCATATTGAGAAAATATTTATTATTAATTTGTTTGTTGTACAATTATTGTAATTACCAATTCTATTAAGAATGTTTTCTCATCAAAAACCATTCTGAATATTCTATATATTATTACATTGCATATTTAAAAATATTTATATTACATACCTTTAAATCTGATTAAATATTAAATATTAAATATTAAATACATAAGTATTGTAATTTATTCTAGAGTCGATGGCGGGGTATCTAAAAATGATTTTATATTACAACTGTTGGCTGATCTGACAGGTCTAGAAGTGGAACGAGCATCAAGCACAGAAATATCTGTTTTGGGAATAATATTTCTCACTGGTTTACAATGCGGTATGTAAATTTCTAAGATAGGATAAGGTTTAACAATATTATTGTTATATATTTGCTTATTTCCAGTTTTATTCTATAAACTGACCCAACAATAACCCGACCGAAGATAACACGTTTTCATTTATAATTCATATTTTAAATTATAATAACAATTGAAAATATTACGCTTTAAAAAAATTTCTTAACATCATAATTATTGAAGGAAATGAAATATTGTTATACGACTAAAAAAGAAATGAACGTATTTTTCTAAAGTTTTTTCGATTCACTTTTTAGGCGTTTGGAAGAACAAGGAAAATATATTCAAGCTACGAAAAGTAGAAACAATATTTATGCCAAACAATGAAAACAGAGAACGATATCGACCGATAGTCGCTCAATGGAAACGAGCTCTCCAAAGACTCGGTAAATGGTATACCGAGATTAAATAATGGCCATACGATTGCCACAAGAAATAAAAGGAAAAGATCTGTTTGCCTTGGAAAATATATTAAAAATTGATACCATATGATAATTAGATTTTTACCATTGACCAATGTACATATGTATAGGTATTGTGATAAATGTAATGCAATTTTTATTAAAAAAATACACGAATTATTAATTTTATTCTTTCTTTTTTTCTTTTTCAAAAATTAATCATCAAAGAAGAAATTCGTTCATTCAATTCATTCAATGCTATTCACTGTACGAGCATGATGAATTATACTATACATTATACTATAGTGACTATAGGATTGCGTATTTTTAGTGGATCGTGCTCGGGGCCCCGACATCGCTAAACTCGTATCTAATTGCTAAACAGTAAATTTCCTGTTGAGTATACAAGAGTCGTGTCAAATCAATCACGTTTTGACCTCGATGTTTTGAATTTTGTTTAAATTGCACTATTTCACATGCAGAGAGAAAGAGGAATTAAATCATAATTTATTAAAAATTACAAATGTTTGAATTTTGCAATTTTCCCAATTTTCGCAAAAATTAAAAAATTATAATAATAAGAATAAAGAAATTTTACTTTTTAATTTTTCGTTTGAAGACAAGAATTTAAAAAAAAGAAAACCTATTATATTTCTTGAAATTTTTTTTCTTAATTATATATATATATATATATAGAATAAGTCTCGTTTTGACGTTCTACTTTAATTTATAGAATAACGAATATAGCGATGCACTTATAATCATTTATCAGCTTATCAAAATAACTTAATCTTATCCCGATTTCGTATGGATAATTTCTAAATTCTAAATTCCTATTGCATTATATATCAATTTGAACGTATTATATAAATCATTGAAGTCAAAAAATGATCGATTAGATGTGGAACGATCTACATATATTTAAATTATTAATGCATAACACATTGATCGAAGAAAATAATTCTACGTATGTCAAAATTCAAATTTTCTCGTTAATTAATTAATAAGATCACCTTGACCAATGTTATTAAAAATTGTATTTATGCAGATATATTATCGACACTGATAATAAATAGGTGATTCCTAAGCACATAAGAAAATTATATATTATACACTTTGGAACAACATTTTACACTATCACTCGAGTATTTTTTCATGGAACCTTCAACTATCTATTACAACTATCTAAACTTCCATCACGTAAAATACGATTCAATTCACTGATTAAACTTTTATTTTTCTGACGTGGTAAACTTTGCAGTACGAACTTTTCGTGGAAAATATGATTCATGTGAAATTATATATTTAATAATAAAAAAAAAAAAAAAGAAGTGGAAAATTCACAAGAAATAAGAAGAAAAGTAATAAATTGCTAGATTTATATTAGAAATTAAATATTTTTTACGAAAAAAGTTTATTCGTTAATTTACATTTTCTTAAAGAATAATTCTTCTTAATGCGTATGTTACATAATTATTCATTTGAGATTGTACATTCTCCCGATTACATCATGCAAGTTTACACGAGCAGAAAACCGGATACATGTGTCTGAATTCATAGAGAAAGTTAGAAGAAAGTTAACGGAGAACCTTTTTCAGAGACAATGCGAGAAGGAAAGAGAATTGAAAGTGTAACAGAATCATTGAAAAGAAACTTTCGTTTCGTTTGATAATAATTGCATTAGAAACTATTATAAAGTGAATCATGTTAAACTATTTAAGATTTATCTTGAGTAAATACAGTAATAAATTTTCAAATGTATATTTATAAAATGTAAATACAAATAGTGATAATTCATATGAAAAATAATATTCAATATTATATAAATATTCAATATTTAATGATATATTAATAATTTAAATATATATAATATATAATAATATTTAATAATTATATAATTCAATATTATATAAATATTGACAGGATTAATCTATGTGAAATATTATGAATTTGTTGAACATGACCTCGTTTGGGGCTGTGAATTATCTTTTATAATTGATTCTCATAATTGAGAATATGAAAATAAAATGCGAAAGTATATATTTATATAACTTACCTGGTAAAAAATTAAAAAAAAAATGAATCAATATAATTAAATGCAATATGACATAATCACAACACTCTTTCAATTGCGTCTAAGTCAAAGATGCATTTTATTATTATCACATTACTATAATATCCTTTAAATAACAAATTTTTCTGTTTATCTGTTATATCATGTAATTAAAAAGTTCTTTGAAAATGTATAATATTTAAAGCATTAAAATGAAATATTAATTTATCAAAATATTAATTAAAAAAGTACCATACTTTTGATTTTATAAAGAAAAGATGAATGATGATGTTATATAATAATATATATATAGTTCTTATTTATCTAAATAAGAATATCATTCAATCGAGTGGCTTCCGCTTATTTTGTATTTAAATAAAAACGACCTCGATTCTTTTTCTTGATGCATATATTGCTATGAAAATTATCGCGCGATAAGTAATCAATTCAGTTTGGATTGAATAGCCATCTCGTATTGTTTACAGTGCTTTACCTGTTAAAAAGATTTACGAATAACGCAAATATCATTATAATAATATTATTAAATATTTGAGGCAGAAATATATAAGAAAAAAAAAGATAAAAAATGGTGAGTACAAATATTATTCAATATCGCATTAAACGTTTAAAAAAAAAGATAAAAAATGATGAGTAGATATTTTTACGATAGATTTGAAAAAGTAATATTATAATATTTTTATACGATTCGTGAAATAATGATTTTTTTTTTTATTTAAAAGATGCTGAAAAAATTACTTTCAACAAGTAAAACAGAAAAAAGTTATACTATTATTTTAACAAAAATCTTAACAACTGATGAAATTCTGAGAAACAGAAAAACTACTAAAGGTAGTTAAATCTCGTAAAATGTTTAAATAAACAAAAGAATAATCTTATTTCTTGTATATTTATTTGTATTATTCGGTTGAAAGTTTTGAATATACAAACGTTATTGAAATTTTTTTCTTCCGATATTCGACATTCGTAGCATATTTTGAACGTTGAAATAAAATATTATATTCCGATGATTAAACTTTTACAACATCTGCTTATTATTTTATTTTATTTGAAAGTGATTACTTATCCACAATTATATATTATTTTTTAGCTAAAATAATATTATAATAATTATAAGTATAATTTATGATATAACATGTAATAATAATAATTTCAAATTTAGATATATTAACGATTTATTTATCTAGATAAAATAATTTTACTATTCATATTATATGTTCCTTCGCTGTTTACGTTTCGTTTACTCTTATTTCTATAACCTGCAAATTTTCTTATTTACTTCTTCAACATTTTTTTCATTATTCAGTCACCATTATTTTCACTGAAGAAAAAACTGGTTTAGCCACTAGTGAATAGTTCTGTATTCTGCATTTCAAAAGAGAAAAAAGAAGAAATTCAATTTATATTCAATTTATATTCATATATTCACGTATATATTATATGTATTATAAAATTTTTGTTAAATTTTTCAAAAAGAAGTTTCCTTTTCTTTTTTTTCATCTCTTCTTTAATAAAAAAAAAAAAAAAATACAATGAAAACAAATATACTTAAACATATTCTTCATATAATTTTAACTTCTCGATTAGAAGAGCATATTGATATCTATCTAATGAAATTAAAACATTGATAAAGAAGAAATATTAAAAATTGGAAACATTCTATATACAAAGCAAAGATTTATATAGAAATGTGAAATAAATATTATTTTCAAGCGTACTAATTCGCGAATACAATCTATACGTTGCTTCATATTTGCATGATTAGCATTTTATATTCTGGTGTAACATCAGAAAAGGACACTATTGCATTCAGTCGTACTATACCTATGTGAAAGGCAACATCGTCCTATTAGATCTCCGATATCTATGGTTTAAAGCGTTGAACACCTTCTAAATACTCATACTCATTTATTATACGACAAACTCCATACTGAAACATAATTATTATGTAAGTATTCATTCATTTACATCTACGATACATTTTTAACATTTTACATTATATAAAATAGTAAAGAACAGTATTAAAAATACATACATACATATATATATATATATATATATATATATAATTAATTTATCATCTAATTATATTATATAGATAGGAAAGAACAATTTTTATAATTTGCTTCGACGAAAATAAATGAAAGAAAATGAAAAGAAAATAAAGTGCATATACGTACAATCATATGAAAATTAATTATAATTGTAAAAAGAATTTTTTTTTAATGAAAATATACAATATATAAAATTTATTCCATTATTCCATTTTTTAAAAATGCAACAAAATGAAATGAAGGAAAATAAATTTGTAATATTTTTTTCTTTCAAAAGTTTTCTGCACGAAGTTTTATAGAATTATCTTTGTAGATGAATGCAACGTATTCAACTTGCTTAAATTTTGTTTCAATGATAATTACATAAGAAAAAAAAATATATATCTCGAAAAATAAAATAAAATTGGCAAACATTCCGTTTGATATATTAATTTTTTTCGATTTTGATTTCAGACAGAAGTGAAAATCGAAGTGGGAGATTTAGAGGAACAACAAATCTCTCCGAAAGAACAAAACATGAAGTCAGAAGAATGTCAAATCGATATAGAATCGAAATTAGATGATCCCACGATGGGTAAGTGATTTTCCCGTATTTTATCAAGATTTTATCATTCTGTCTCTTTCTTTTTATTTCTTTTTCATCTTTTTCTATCTTCTATTTGCTAATAATAATAATAATTCAAAAATATCGAGAAAATTAAATGACAACAAATTGATAAAAATAATTTTGAATAATTTCAATCGTATATTTCGTACATTTATATAACATACATACATATATATATATATATATATATATATATAATAATTTTATCATCAATTATATTATATAGATAGGAAAGAACAATTTTTATAATTTGCTTCGACGAAAATAAATGAAAGAAAATGAAAAGAAAATAAAGTGCATATACGTACAATCATATGAAAATTAATTATAATTGTAAAAAGAATTTTTTTTTTAATGAAAATATACAATATATAAAATTTATTCCATTATTCCATTTTTTAAAAATGCAACAAAATGAAATGAAGGAAAATAAATTT